ATGGAGTTGTGTTCCAGTGGACATTTGATTGATCAGATGGCCAGTGAGGGTCGGTATTCAAAGCACCGGGCTGCTAATATATTCAAGGAAATTGTGCTGTTCATTAAGCATTGCCATGAGATGGGAGTTGTACAGAGAGATATAAGCCTGAGAATATTCTTCTCACTAATTCAGGGAAGATAAAGCTGGCAGATTTCGGCTTAGCCATGAGGATTGCAAATGGTAACTAATCTGACACCTCCCTTCTATATTGTTCTGTTACTTTTCTTGCCCTTAAATATTTTTCTTTCTACTGCAGTTTTGAACACCAGAAGTTGGAATGAATGTGGACCTTTTTATCTTTTTGTTTCTTTACTTATTAAATCTTTGCAATTTATTTATTTATTTTTGAGTGGTTTCTTCCAATTAAGAAAGTTTCTTATCATTTGTTGGAGCCTGTAATTGGAAATTTAGTGATATAATTTGACATGACTCGGTGGATACCAAGCTACCAATAGAAACTTGTTATAAAAAAGCCTTGTAAATGGTCTAAGGATTATATGTTTTAATTATGGCAGGTCTGTGTAATGCCTAGTGTTTGGTATTGATAAAGGTGGATGTATGGCTATTCTTCACAGGTGCTTCTCCTTCTTACCAACTGAAGCAAGAATAGCAAGATCATGAGATGAAGTACATTATGGTCCTATATGTGTATGTATTGCTTTTCTGTGTCTCCTAGTACATATCATTTTTCCTATGCTAGTACAAAGAGCCAAAAAGGTGTGAGCATACATTTTTATGAAAATCATTGGGGCCAACAGGTTTTGCTGGCCTAATCAACTTCTACTATTGTTGAATGGTTACCTCGTGTCTGACTTTTTCAAAATAGTTTTGGAAGTACATCAGTTTAAAGGCATTTGAAAGTCTTAATGGCGGAGTTATTTACCTTGCTGATCTGATGCATGCCGAACTCTCAAATGGAGTGATCATTTCTTAGGCCATGATTCTTTAAACAAATTTAACATTTACCTGTACTTGCTGAATGTATGGATACGATACTCATTATTAACATAGTTTTTAGTGCATTCCCTAACATAAAGAATTTTTCTTGTGGTCTTCTAGTTTTATTAGAGGTTGTTTGGTTACTTGGGGGCATATTGGTGATTAAGATGGAGGCAGAAAGGACTTTCTTTGTTTGGTTGCAAATAACACTCAACCAAAGACATTCTATAGAGCTTTGTTCTTCCCCATTATGTGAATTTTTTTAAACCAGCATGAGGTGCCTCAAATTCCATAGCTTGTGTCTTTTGTTCTTTTTTTTTTACGAAAATGTGTAACTGAAATGTAATAGCAGTGAGATACGGAGGATTTCAGCATTACAAAGTTACACTGCACTAAAGTAATCTGCAGAAGATAACACTAGATTCCATCATTTGTGCTTAGAAAGGATTTAATAGTGTGACAGAATTAAGATTATTTGGCTTCCTTGTATGAGGCTTCCAAAATTTAAAATCTGTAAAATTATAAGAACAGTTTCATTATGCAGGAATTGGTTTTTGCTTAGCTTTAAAAAGAGTTGGCCACATGGAATAGCCTGTTTTTTCTTCCTTGTGGGAACCATTGGTCTTCTTGGGAGCCAAACACAGGCCTAAGCTGCAGAACATCACACCTAATTTGTGTTTGTAGGTACATGGTAACAATTTATTAAAGAGAGAAATCTCCTTATGTTCTGGATTTTAAGTGGAATTCCGATAAACCCACTCTAATGGTCTCATATTGTATTTTCTTATTTTAGTAGCGGCCTTTTGTGATTGCTTTCCTTCTTGTTTATGTAACATTGCAATCATTACATTTCAGGTCAGAGATTGACTGGTTTGGCTGGGAGCCCTGCTTATGTTGCCCCAGAAGTTCTCCTAGGCAATTATTCAGAGAGAGTTGATATGTGGAGTGATGGTGTCCTTCTACATGCTCTCTTGACTGGTCTTCTCCCATTTCAAGTAGACTCAGTAGAAGCAGTTTTTGAAGCAATCAAGAACATGAAGCTTGATTTCCACACCGGGATATGGGAGTCTATATCGAAAGCTGCACGGGATCTGATTGAGCACATTCTTACACGAGATGTTGCAACAAGGACAACAGCGGATGAAGTGCTTAGTAAGTTTTCTATACTGGTCTAATTTCTGAATAGGGTTTCTAATCCTTGGTTTTTTTTTTTGGCAAGCTGTATACAGCCGTTTTGATCGCACACAAGATTTTGAGTATGAGATGATAATGGCTGACCAACCCTTTTGCCAATGCAATTTGGGCTTGTCTGTAGACCATTCCAGTGCCCTAGAACAATACCCGAATGTTTAGAAAAATCAATTTTTATCATTCACTTTTTTTATTTTTTTTTACCATGTCATTTTCTTGACTTAATCTTGAATTTGTTTGTAAATATGCTAATCTTTTTCACTCATCAATGTTCCTTTCAGGCCATCCATGGATCTTGCTCTACACTGACCGCACATTAAGGACGCTATCTATAAAGTCGAAATGAAAGAGCCGGTCACCACCACCACCACCTTCCCAGCTACTAGCCACAACTAGACTGGAGGAGCAGAATGACCGTAGGACAGCCTATGATTCTAGAACAATACCCGGATGTTTAGAAACATCAATTTTTATCATTCACTTTTTTTATTTTTTTTTACCGTGCCATTTTCTTGACTTAATCTTGAATTTTTTTGTAAATATGCTAATCTTTTTCACTCATCAATGTTCCTTTCAGTCCATCCATGGATCTTGCTCTACACTGACCGCACATTAAGGACGCTATCTCTAAAGTCAGAATCAAAGAGCCGGTCACCACCACCACCTTCCCAGCTACCAGCCAACTAGACTGGAGGAGCAGAATGACTGTAGGACAGCCTATGATTCTTTTGGTGAGACTACCGATCCAGCATCGTTGCCTGGAAGTTTGAGTCGCAAGACTGAAGAGCAAGACGACTCTGGTTTGGTTGACGCACTTGCAGTAGCAATTTCACACATGACGATCTCCGAAACAAAGCGGAGCAGGCTATGCATTCCAACAAACCCAATACAGGAGCAATGCTCGTCCAACATGAAGGCTAACAATCTCTGCAAAGCATTTTGATTCCGAGACCTAAACAGCTGACCGACCTACACCACCAACACCATTCCTCAGTTATTTTTTGAATGGGTATCTGAATTAAAAATTTCCGCGGCGAAAAGATGATGCAACTGGCAAACATGTTTGGGTATCAAAATAACAAGTATTGGATTGATGGCCGGGGAAGGCTGGAAATTGTTAGAATGCTTGTTTGATCTAATGTTGGCCATTGTTGACATGTCAATGTACCTACAACCTGATACAACCAAATAAACTGATGTACAGTACAGGTAATGTAAATAGAGAGTGCTGGTGATTTGTGATTGTAACACGGTTTGTTTGGTTCGTTGCTTTATTTAAATATATTGCTTAGCTACGTGCATTAACTATGGAATTTTTGTAGATGGTGTGCTTTTTTATGTCATGGGTATGCCAAATGTGTTCCAGGCAGACCTCTTAATAAATTTTATAAGACAACTGAGCTCATTCATGGTATCCTATGGACTAGCAAGTTTTGAGTAGGCCCTTTTTGTTTTTTGACAGATTGTGATAGTAACGAAATTTTAGTAGGAAATTAAAATGAAGTTGAGCCGTTGATTATGGTATATATATATATCTGTAATTTCCATATATTTTTTGAGCCAGGATTCCGTCTATGGTGGATCTTGACAGAACTTACATAAAATATATTTTCATGCAGAGTAATAAACCAGCTTGACCAGGTGCTTCATTAAAAAGATTATCATCATTTAATATATCCTGCAATTGTCTTGTGCCCCTCCCCCACTTATGATAAAAAGAAAAGAAAGCCAATTGATAATCTGATTTTTCTTTTTCTTTTTTGCCTTAAAGTTGTGTTTAGTTATTAAATTTGTGGATATGTGTATATATATATATATATATATGCGAATTACACTAACAATTCCTATAGTTTAGGACTCATGTCACTTTAATCCTTGACTTTTCAATTGTGACACATTTAACCCTGAATTTTGAATCTTGTTTCAAATAAAGACAATTGAAGATACCATTGCTCAATTTTAAGGGCAAAGTCATCGATTTGATAAAATATAAACTAATTCGACAAAAATAAATGTCAAAAATATATTTTTTAAAATAATTTCTATTCACCAAAGATAAAATTATGTAAAATTGATAAATCTTTTAGACATTTATTTATTTATTTATTTATTTTATCAAATTAATTTTTATTATGTGTTTAGATGATGATCATGTAATGAGTGGTTGTTAGGCTTTTAATGTGTAATATATAAAATGTTTTTAGTTTTGGATTTTTTGATTTAATGGATTGGCTTAATAATGATATTGAAGTTGTCGCTATATTTGACTTTTCGAAAAATAGAAACTAATTGAATCAAAATAAAAATAACCACATATTACATGATCATCATCCAAATACATAATAAAAATTAATTTGATAAATAAATAAATGTCTAAAAGATTAATTAATTTTGCATAATTTTATCTTTAGTGGGTAGAAACAATTTTTAAAATTTTAAAAATATTTTTTTGACATTTATTTTTGTCAAATTAGTTATATTTTTGACGCATTTGCCCTTAAAATTGAGCAATTGTATCTTTAATTGTCCTTACTTGGAACAAGATTCAAAATTCAGGGTCAAAGTGTCACAATTAAAAAGTCAATGACTAAAATGACACAAAACCCAAATTATAAGAACCATTAATATAATTCGTCCTATATATATTTATAGAAAAGAGAGAAAAAATATTTTTTATTTTTTATTTTTTATTGATTCACTGGGAGTTCAAAGACTGAAATAGTATTCATATTATATACATTTTTACCTAACTGCATGGGTTTCCGTTGACCCAAAATGGTAGACACAATAGTTTCTTGGTAACGTTGTTTATATTTTAGTTTTGTTGTCTCACTCCCGACACCAACCCCATTTTAAAAATCTCAACATGAAATGTCTAATTCCAAAGTCCCAAATTTTCCATCTGCAACAATCAAACCTGATGGAAATGGAGAATGGTCTCAAGATGTTCACCCAAACCAACAAGCCATGTTTCTCAACCAAACTTATCTGCACATATCTCTCAGCCTTGTTCCTACTTCTCATTCTCTTCCACATCCAAACCTCCCCTTTCACTTCTCTCTCCTCCCCTACTTCCACTCCATGGTCATTTTTCCACCCATGGAAGAGCAGCAACCACAAAGTTGTCGAGACCCTAACCGACAGGCTGAGGGACTCTGTCACTTTCCTCCCCCTCAAAGACCTCGGATTCGCCGAAACTGCCATGACTGGCAACACCTGGTTCATGAGCTCCTTAAATGACAGCCATGATGAAGATGGATCAGAATACCTCTACTTCCCTTCCCCAGCCTCAAAGGGCAAGATTCTATGCATCAAGGGACGCAACGCCAGAGATGGTACAAAAAACTCCTATGCCTTGGCTTGGCCAGAAAGTATTCCAAACTCTGCCACTCTAATCCCGGGCCTAACCTATGTCTCTGACACTTACTATAACTATGACAATCTCTGGCACGGGTTGTGTGCAGTGGCACCGTTTGTCAGCTGGTCAGTGAAGAACCAGTGCTTGAAGCCGACAAGGTGGGTACTGTTTCATTGGGGGGAGCTGAGGACAAAAATGGGATCATGGGTTGAGAACTTGTTGAAAGCCAACTATGGAAGTGTAGTGGTGGTTGATAGATTCGAAGGTGGTGATGGGCCGTACTGCTTCGAGAAGGCAGTCGTGATGAGGCATGATTGGGGAAGGATGGGGGAGGAGAGGAAGATGGAGGTTTTTCAGTTGTTGAGATGTAAGGCTAGGGAGGTTTGTGGGTTGAAAATGATGAGTAGAGGGAATGAACAAAAAGGGGTTCCACTTATAAGGCTGACTTTGCTGATGAGAAGAGGGTCTAGGGCATTCAAGAATGGAACAGCAGTTGCAGATGTGTTTGCCAAGGAGTGTGCTAGTGTTAAGGGTTGCATTCTGAGTGTGGTTCAGTCTGAAGACCTGAGCTTCTGTGATCAGGTCTTTTCTTCCTAACCCTTTACATTTTTTTTAAAAATTATGTTATTTTACTCGGTCTCATTTCACATTTTAAAGTTTTGTTAATGCATGACGTTAGTATACATCTAATCGGACAAAAAGGGTAAAAATTATCAGATCGGTATGGATTTATCAAATTAGGGTCCAGTCGGATTATCGGAATGGTTTTAACAGATTTGGCAATTTCAAATTGGATTCTGAGCGGATTCAGGTCTAATCAGATTATAGATTTGAACCACTATTAACAGATTTGGCAATTTCAAGTTGGATTCTGATCGGATTCAGGTTGGACCCAATTCATTGACAGACGTGTATGCCACATCAGTTTGTAACATTTTCCTTTGTAGAGTATAGAACTTCACCGTAAGTCACCAAACATATATAACACTAGTGCACCATGTTAATTTTCCCAAAACAATGACCTTTCATCTAACAATATCAGTTTAGCCTAGTTCAAATATCATCTCAGAATGTAGTGACATGCTCTTTTGCTAATGTAATAACTGACAAATTAAACAATTTATACGGTTTTGCTATGCGTCCAGAATTGATGCACATAATAAAGAAAAGGACGCCCTTCTCTTTATTATGTGGACACAGGTTTCTTTGCCAACTATGTCATACTAGATGGCAAATAAGGGTATATTAATCTGTAGAGAATGTGAACTCTTTTAAGATCAAAACCAAGACTATCCAAAACAGAGACACAAATGCAGTTGACACAGTTTCATGGTAGGTGTCTGACTTACAATTGTGTGGCCTTCATTCAGGTGAGAGTGATGACCAACACCAACATTGTTGCATCTCCGCATGGAGCACAGTTAACAAACATGCTCTTCATGGACCGGGGCAGTAGCATAATGGAGTTCTTTCCCAAAGGATGGTTAGAACATGCAGGCATAGGCCAGTATGTTTTCCACTGGATGGCGAACCAGTTGATGATGAAGCACCAGGGTGCATGGTGGGACTCAATTGGCAACGAATGCCCGCTCCCTGAACAAGAACTAGAATGCTTTCTTTTCCACAAAGACGGCCAGGTTGGTCACAATGAAACCTACTTTGCAGAGTGGGCCAGAAAGGTCCTCAACCAAGTGAGAATAAGCAAGCTGGAGGAAGCTTCCAAGAAGCCACAGCCGATCTCAAGTGCCTGTCAATGCTAGTTGGCTGTTCATTTGCCAATTCATGAGATAGAATTTCACAGACAAGCAGTAGTGAAATATGAATGGAACAACAAATGCAATTATAGAATTTCACATTTTTAAAAGCCTCAAAGCAGTCTATGACAAGTCATGGGACAATGTAGGAGGATATCAGCACTCCAGATACGAACTTTCACAGAATAATTCCTGGAAAATTTCTGGGCAACATAAAGTGGGCCTATTGACAATCTCTGAGGTGTGTGGTAGTGCTAGCCTAGCATTGTTTCATAAGCCAGACATGAAAAGAAGAATACAATACATGAATGGATTGATCACAATTCCAAAGAAAATTTTCTGCACATGAACTGCTAATTAACTATGGAGGTCAATTTTTGTTCTTTAAATTCAATAAGCATCAGGGATTTTTATTTATTTATTTTTATCTAAACCAACATAACTTGTATCAACGAACACTCAGAAACCTCTGAACGAGTTCTAGTTTACTGTAGCAATATGCTCAAAAAATGGTTAACATTGTACATTAGAAATCACCCAAATATGTTGCTCTATGCAAGTGCATGAGCATGCTAGTTTGTTGCTTATTTGTACTTCAGCTAACATTGCACGTACAAAAATAAACTCAGATTGGATGAAACATTTCATTAATAAAACAAATTACTCAGAAGATAGACTGTCACATTTCACATACAGTAACCATGCTTTACATTTCAAAAGGTAAAATCCAAGAAACAAGGACCATGCTTTCTAAAGATGTCATTACAATGAGAATACGTCCAAGAGGAGTTAAAAAGAAACTGGTATTAGATCTTTTGAAAAGACAAGGAGACCCTGTTGGCCTGCAGTCAAGATGATTCTTGGCAGGGCAGCAGCAGGATTAATGTCCAAATCTTCGTGAAAATTTGGACCAGAAGTAGACCACGCTAAAACAAATAAGTGCAAAAAGAACCACGTGAATAACATGGTTTGATCCATTCTGGATGATACTCTTGTTCAATCTCCTCATGTTGTTCTTCACCCCTGCTTGAGCTTTGATCAGTGTCATTTGCTGTTATGAACAAGAAAATATAGTAATTTCAGAAGTAGTAACTTCTTTCATCAAGGAAGGGAAGGCTAAGTGCCACTTACTTGATATGAATTATGAACAAGTCATAGAATATAAGCAAGAATCATTGTTAAATTCACCTTCAATACAATTTCCCCAAATAAATACATTCTGCCAACCAAATTGTTAAGTATTATTTGATCCAAAATGCAATTGCTGCCTGTCTTAGCATTGTTAAATACCAGAAACCCCTCTAGTTTTCATTCTTTCCTAATACGAACTGTAAAGAGGATTCAACACGGTTTATTTTGATATTTGACTCATGACGAGCATCTACAAGTCTCTTGTATTGATCATTATGATCCATAATGGTACTAAAAAATCTAAATCATTTAGTTATTTATTTATCTACTTTCCAAATCACTATGTGTGTGTGTGTCAAGTGTTGATCAGAACACAAAACCTAGAATGAAAAATAGCACGGCCGGCAAAGAACCAGAGTGTTCTGAACCATGAAAAGGCAATGACACTTTTGCATATTAAATGGAATTTTATATACTACCAGGAAATTGCAAATTGGAGTTGAAAGTTGAAACAAGGTCCAGAGTGCGAATTATATATCCTTAAATCTTGACATTGAGAAAAAGATTAAATACTGATTACCAAGTATTGGTTAATATCTTATTACTATTTATGCCTTTTCCTTTTCCTCTTTTCTCTTCCCACTTCACAAAGCAGCTGTAATTTATAGAGCTCAATTCATAATTCAAGTAATTGAAGATAAAAAGAAGTAATGATTGTTCATTCATGTCAATGTCAAACAATCCAGATATTCTACTAGTAAATGTTCCAGAAAGCTAGTTTACAAATAAAATAAAAAATAAAAATCTAAAGTGAATGGTGGTAAAGTTGATGGTATACCAGCTCACTGAGAAAGTCATTCTGAAACTTCGCCTCCGTTCCTATCTCTTTAGCTACCTGCAATGCCACTCTTTTTTAAGTGCTCAGGAAACAGAACATATAGAGACAAAAATGTAGAAAACTGTCGCAATTAAATGATAGCATTAACAATTCAAAAGAATTCCTTTTCTTATTCTTTTTTCTGTTGGGCTTTTCTCAGCCCTGGCGGTGATTCCAAGGAGGGTGTGGAGAATGGAAAAGTGATGAAGGCAGTCACGGGGTTTTGGGTCCTACTCTGTTAACATTCCCAAGGAGGTGTAGACAGAAGGAAATTCTGGGGTGACTCTTCAAAGGTAACTTGAGTTCCATGTGTGGCTGGGACACTGATCAGGGTGTGAATAAGGTGATGTGAGAGGAGTGTGCGTGGTGCGGTTCGGACGATTTGAGAGTAAAATTATAAATCAAATCGTGAATGACAGATTGACAAATAACCAAACCACGGTTTGGGACGGTTTCAATTTATTAGTTGATTGAAGAATATTCTTAAATAATTATCAAATCTGTCATTAGTGGTGAATAAGGTGTGAATAAGTGGTGAATAAGGTGTGAATATTATCTGTCAATTTATTAGTTGACACTGATCAGGGTGTGAATAAGGTGATGTGAGAGGAGTGTGCGTGGTGCGGTTCGGACGATTTGAGAGTAAAATTATAAATCAAATCGTGAATGACAGATTGACAAATAACCAAACCACGGTTTGGGACGGTTTCAATTTATTAGTTGATTGAAGAATATTCTTAAATAATTATCAAGCATTTGAATAATATTTTATATATATATAACACAAATTAATTTTACATAATATTTTTCATATATATAATTTCATATCTTAAATCTCCGTCATATGCACTTTTACTTTGATATTTCATTAGATGTTAAAAAAATATGTGATAACTATAGCGAAGCGGAGCGATTGCAAAGACGGATTATAAATTTCAAAGTTTAGCGTTGATGGGTAATGAAGCTGGTTGATTCTCGGATGACTATAGTTGAGAGAAAGCATCATTTGCAGGAAACAAATATTGAATTGTGTAAGTTGGAGATCGAGAAAGCAATGCCCATGTCTATTGAGACTCTCTCTTCCATTTTTTGGCAGAAGATGAAAATTATTATTTTTGGTATTGGACATCAACGCAAATGGAGCATACATATTGAATATCCTAGAGTAGTTTACGACCAACATATCCAACTTGTCTATAGCCTAACCAGAGTTAACAACAAATATTAAATAAAAGTTATGATCGCTGGTGTCCCAGTAGCTAAGCATGCCTCCAATTCTATCAATCAAGAAATTACAAGAAAAGTTGAGTAACAAAAAAGAAAAAAAAAAACCTTACAAATTTCAGTTGCCCAACTTGTTTACGGAGACCTGTGATCTCATCATCCAAATCCCCATGCATCGGATCAATCCGTAATTGGATTTCATCCGAACTAGCCACTTGTCGCGTGCTAAGCCCTTCTCTGCATTCACAAATGCAAATAATACATACAATACAAATTCAACATCACTACCGAACAAGAGAGAATTAGAAAATAAAAAAGAAACTCAATTGTATTAGGCTGAATTTGCAGAGACAAGACTCAAGTTTCATTCTTTTTCTTCTAAATATTCGAGAATCAAACAGAAATATCCAAAAACAAATAAAAATGGAGCAATTGATTATGAAAATACCTCGATCTGTACGGAGCGGCACCGTAGAAGTCACCGCCCCTATGAGAACTGGACGCCATTGGAGAAGAAGAACTTGAGACGATGATCAAGGTTTCGAATCAGGAGAAGAAATGAATTAAGGGAATAGAAAGGGAAAGAAACCCTAGAACAAAGAACCCTATTGAATCGTCAAATTGGTCTGCCTGGCTGTTTTCGAGGATCGATCGATAGATAGCTTTTGAACTTTCCTTGAACAAATTGGGTATAGCGCGTGACTGTGTTTGGTTGGCGTTACGCGGAAAGTTTTCTTGAACAAATTGGGTATGGGGCGTGACTGTGTTTGGTTGGCCTTATAGAATAACGGTGATGTGTCGACAAAGTGATCCACCGTTGGATTTGGCGATCGGACGATAACCAGTGCTTATGACGTGGTCATACACAAATCGATTTGGGATGTCGGACCGATGTAATAGACGGTTCAGATCGTTTTATAGTATAACCACGTGTCATGGAATAATTTTTCCTGAAGAGGTGACTGTTTTACGGGTGACAATTGATCATTGGTGAAATCTGTTCCGTCCAATGATACTGTTAAAAAATTGCCACTTAAACAATTTGCACCTGTGCCATGTCTCGAACAAATTTATTTATTTTATTTAGCAAATTTTTAATGTTTTTTAATTTTTTTTAAAATTTCAATAAATTAAAATTGAAAAATATACAAAATACGAAAATATCTAATTTAATTGATTTTTTTTGTTTTCAAATTATTTTTTAATTTTTTTTTTGAAACTTAAAATTCCTCAATTTAAACTTAAAGCCTCTGTTTGAAACAATTTCCAAATGTTGATTCCACTTCCACATTTCAATATGATGTTTGGATAGATATGTGAAACTAATTTTCCACAACTCTGCAGAAAACTCTGTTTGAGAGCGTGATTTTCAAAAAAAAAAATTTAATTTGGCCTAATCGGTCATCCGGTCAGTTGACCGGAATAGTGCAAATTATTTTTTTATTTTTTATTTTTTTGCAATTGATATGTTAATTTTTATATATTCGAAAAAAAAAAATTTAATTTTTAATTTTTTTTATGTGTTTTAATAGAATTTTGAGTTATATGTTTGGTTATGAATTGTAAATTTTTGTATCCAATATCATATGTCACATCAAAAATTTTTCTCTCAATTCAAAACTCTTTTACCAAACAAATTTTTCATACTCAAATCATAATTCCAAAACTCACAAACTCAAAATACAACTCATACTCTCAAATCATATTTAGAAAGCTCTACCAAACACAACCAAAGTTCCTCAATTTTTTTTTTTTTTTAAATTCATTACAATAAGTCTAAGAATAAAAGATAAAATTCACATCTATGCCAAGCTTGTATTTTTTGACCGGTTAATGACATTACATTTTACTAATTCTTCATGAATTTATTATAAATTTAAATGTGCTTGGACGATAAATCTAATTTAGATTTTCTTTGTCCAAAGGTTCAACCGCTGAAATATTTTTTTCATAAGGACAAGTTCCTATAAAATGACTAAATTATCCACGTATATATATATATATATATCATTTCCCAAATCAAACCCTAACAACCACCTCTCTCTTTCTCTCTCTCTCCTTAGTGTGTTTGTCTCGATCATGAAACATATCACTGCCTTAGGCCTCGCACGATGGCAACTTCTCCACCGTTCGCTGCTATTTGGGGCTCAACATCTGTTATACCTACTGTACGGGGAGGAAATATTCGTCGCTTTCTGTACTCATTGGGTCCAAGCTCTATTTAGCTCTGAACAGAGTCGTTCAACTTGAGAACAAAACGACGGTGAACTACCCAGCGGGTGTGCAACCGGAAAACCCCTCCAACGATCAAGTTAGCACACTTTAGAGAGAAAGGGAATGTAGAGAGAAAGAAAGAAAATTGGTAGAATTTGCTTAGCCCTTCTGAGTGTAAGGTCGCATGCCTTATCTAGGCTACTGGCTCGCCTCCCAAGGTTGTGTGCGCACTACTTCTATCGCTCTCTTTTGGACGAGCGACTGTACTGCCCTTTCTATTTCTTACACATGTACGTGTCAATACCATCAAACAACATTAGTCAAACTACCAGACAATATTCACACACACCTTTAATGGATTCCTCTCATCACATTTCGATTGGGCCACGTGGCTATTCATGCCGAGTTATATATAGCCTGGTCTTACTTAGCTCTCCAGCCCTAACCCTCAGGGCCGAGCTGACTCTTGCCGGTCTATGTCTAAAACGCTCAACCAACTTGACATGCCATACTTACTTTGTTGAGTTCTATCCCTTCATCAAGACAAATTTCGCTTAACCCCGACGCATAATAGGTACATCTAGCCCGATCAAAAACATCATCACTTCGCCTAGCGTGGCTAATGATCCAAGCCTAACAACTAGCTCGGTCTAACTTCTGGATCTTAGACTGGCTTAACTGTGTAATCCAAAACCTCGGTCTAAACCGCCCTCAGTTATGCCAGCTCGGTCATGCAACCCGATGACATGGCCCAAACCCAAACTAGCTTGGCCCATTTACTCGACGTAAGCCTCCCTCTCACCGACAATCTTGCTGTTGTCCTTAGATCTCTCTCTCTCTCTCTCTCTCCTCAGATCTACCATCCGAAGTCACCGTCTTCGCCACCCTTCACTCCAAGCCGCCATCCATGATTTGCGATATGAACTCAATTCAAAGATTACATCTAGGGTTTTGACTTTGATTTGAACACATAGTTGAGTTGTGATCATGATTCGATTGTTCTTGCCAAGATCTAAACTTGAATTGAATTCCAGGGTTGAAGATCCGAACTCGAACATAGACATTCTTGATCGTTTCGGTTGCGACGGTGGTAGACGATGAATTTAAGATTTGAATAGAGAGGAGAGTCCGCCATCTTGCTGGTGATGGTGAGTCCGGAGTAATTTAACCTTGAAGATCAAGAACCTATGTTCGTGCTCCTCCTTGGTTGCTTGCCGAACTTGCACTTGAAAAGCCTGAGTTAGTGGTGATTTGTGATCTAAACCTGTGTTTTGTGTTGACATTACACCAATAACCTGGATTATGGAGTCATCGTTGTTCAAATTAGAGGAGGTAACGGTGAATGGCATCGCAACGAGGAGATAGAAAACAATGAGGACAGAGTAAAGGTGATCCACGTTGAAATTTCATGATCTTAATCAATAATTTTGCACTCTTTTGGATGTTTTCCCATTGAATGAATTGGATCTTTAATAGTTTTGATGGATCTTGGAGCATTTGTGTGAAAGTTTGAGTGATGGATCTTGGAGTATCTGTGTGAATTTTTCCATTTAAGACAAAAATTTCAATATTTGTAATTCTTGTTGTTTCTGGATGCATGAAAATCTCTACCATAAAGATCAGATCACAGATCTCGCTCTTTCTCTCTCTCTCTCTCTCTCGCTCCCACCCTCATACTCTTTTTACTTTGATATTTTATTAGATGTTAAAAAAAATATATGTATTAACTATAGCGGAGATGAGCGATTTCAAAAGCAAATTATAAGTTTTGAAATTTAACCCATGGTTAGCGAATAGATCGGGGTGATTTTAGCATATTGAGTAGTGTTTTGCACTTGTTAAGGTCATTTCGGGGAGTTAATATGTTTTTTTGCAATGTTGGTGGGTAACAAAGCTGGTTGATTCTCGGATGACTATAGTTGAGAGAAAGAATCGTTTGCAGGAAACAAATATTGAATTGTGTAAGTTAGACATCAAGAAAGCAATGCCCATGTTTGTTGAGACTTTCTCTTCCATTTTTTTTTTGTAGAAGATGAAAATTATTATTTTTTGTATACGACATCAACGCAAATAGAGCATATATATTGAATATCCTAGAGTAGTTTACGACCGATATATCCAACTTGTCTATAGCCTAACCGAAGTTAACAACAAATATTAAATATAATTTATGTTCTCATAATCTCATCGTTGGTGTCAAAATTGCTAAGCATGCCACCAATTCTATTAATCAACAAATATTAACAACAAATATTAATGTGGGGATATATTTCTGAGTACCAACACGTGGTAAGGTGACGTCGATGTGTCAGCCGAGGTGCCACGTGCCCTAGTCATTACGCCGAGGTGATCTCGGCAGGACCGAGGTTATCTCCGAAGATATCGGAATCCGAGATAAACGGATAAGGGACAAAAGTCCTAGGATAAAGAGGAGAGTTAGTGAAGATGAGGATAAAGCTCTTAGGGAGTTTATCTTTATCTCTTGAAGAGTCCAAAGTAAGTACTGAATTAGAGTCCATAGAAGTCAGGCTTCTTGTGGGACTAGGATTAAGTAAACTATAAAAGAGAGGCACCCCCGTGGGTCTAAGGTATGCAATTTATGCTTTAAGTAGAGAGTTTAGCACTTGATTATCTTTGAGAGATATACTGACTTGATCGTTGGAGTGCCCCCGGGTGGAGGAGCCATTGTCGGAGCCTTTTCTTTCTGTTACAGGTTAACTGAAGCCATCTATTCTGCTAGTGCTCTCTAGCTGATTACTAAGCGAGCAGTGTGATCAGAAAATTACTCACACAATTTGGCGCCGTCTGTGGGAAGAAGGAAGAATAGATGGCCAGTAACACACAGAACGAAAAGATAGGGGACGACACTCCTGCTGGGAGTGGCAGACCTATAGACCTTGATATTGAAGGAGACAACAACAATACAGAAACTCGTAACCAGGGTCACAGAGAGAATGACGTCGGCCAGAAGGGCGACACTTCGAAGAAGGCAGACCAAAGCAAGTACTATAACGAAGATAACCTCCAGGTATGGAGGGATAGGTGCCTTCGGAGGGATGAGGAAGTAAGAGAATTGGCAAACAAGTTGGCAGACCTGCAGTCGGTCGTCAACTTCATGATGCAAAACAATGTCATGCAGCCACCATACTCGCTGCACGACACGCCAATTCCAGCAATTAATACCTAGAAGGGAGGAAGGAAAACAGTCCCCAAAGCCCTTCAGCACAACAGAAGCGGAAGGCACTCTCACCTACCTTCCAGGGAAGTCGGGCAAGAGGAGCCGAGACGAGAGAAGTCCCAAAGAACGTACCACATGAAGGACCTAGAGCCCAAAGAACATTGGCATGTTCAAGGGCAGGCGCTCTACTTTGACACAACCCATGGAGAAAGAACAAAACGGGCCCACCACGAGGCCGAAAGTAGTGTGCTGAAAAGATTGAAATCCAAAGACAGCCGAGCTTTGAGGAGGAGTAAAGAAGACTTGAGAGATTACCTCAAGAGGAAGCAACAGAATGCTGAAGCCGAGGTAACTTCCCCGGATAAGCCGAGAACA